GCAACGGCCGCACCCTCGACTGGTGCAGGATGTGCTCGGTGTTAACCGCCTGGCGGCCCCTGTTAAAACACCGGATCATCCGAAGCAGTATCAATGCAATATGCCGGGTGAACCCAGAAGAGCCTGGCAGACACTAGTCTCATTCGAAGGTGCGCGGGGGTTCGTGATGGAAGGGGATGAACCACGGCCGGGGATGGTGTTCGATAGACGCACGCGCAAGTGGGAGGAGCCGACAACCGCGGAAAGGGAAGCGGCTATGGGGCACATGTGGCAGGCAACGGCACACCCTTCGGTGACAGAGCAGCAGAGGAGGGCAGCTCTAGGTAGAGCTATGGATCTGAAAGTCATGACATGGCTGATCGAGTCAATCCGGATGCACCTAAAGATTGCGCGAGATTGAGTTCAGCGAGAGGCATCAGGAAGATGGAGAGGTTCGAATGAAGAATGGGCAGCTAGTCATGATCGAAGAGCAGCTGGAAGGCCGGATACTAGAAGGATGGGCCTTTATGGCCGTGGATGGGGGCCTGAACGAGCAAGGGAAAGAAGGTAGCTGTGAACTGGGGGTAACGCTCGGGAGTTCCCTAGAAGCAGGAGAAGAGAGCGGGGAAGCAGCTAAGGCTCGGCCAGTATCTGGGAAGGAGGAGACTGCCGAGCCGGGGGTAAAGGAGGAATCAGCAAGTGGAGGGGAAGAAGAGTGGCGGATAGGCGAAGAAATGGGAGCTGCAGCGGCCGAGGCACTTCAGGAGGTGCTGAGACAACACCGTAGTACCTTTGCTCACTCCTTGAGCGAGCTTGGGGTGTGCAAGGTACGAGAGATGCGGATCCAGCTGTCCAACGACGTACCAGTGTACCTCCAGAGGCGTAGGATGGGTTCGAGGGACGTGGATGTGTGCGTAGAAAAGTGTAAGGAGCTCATGGAGGTGGGGTTGATCCGGAGGTCGGAAAGCGAGTTCGTCGCGGCCACGGTCGTGGCCTCTCGGAAGGATATCACAGGGGAGGTCTCAGCGAAGCGGATGTGCGGGGACTACCGCGGACTGAACAAAGTGACTCTGCCCGACCGTTACCCCATGCAGTCGGCCGAGGAAATCTTCGATAAACTGCAAGGGGCCACGGTGTTCTCCACGCTGGACCTGCGGTAAGGGTTCAACCAAATACCGATCAAGGAGGAGGATAGGAAGAAGACCGCGTTCCATGGGCCCGACGGTCAGTATGAGTGGAACACGATGCAGTTTGGCCTGCGGAACGCCCCAGCCATCTTCCAGAGGACCATGGACGGGGTGCTGAGGGAGATACCAGCAGCCGCGTGCTATATTGAGGATGTGATAGTGTTCAGCGAGTCAGAGGAACAACACGTGCAGGATGTGAAGAGAACGCTGGACGCCATCCTCGAAGCGGGATTAACCTGCCACCCTAAGAAGTGCAGGTTTGGGAGCAAGACGGTGCAGTACTTGGGATTTGAGATAGGTGGCGGGAAGCTGGGGTTGCAGCAGGCGAAGGTGGAGGTCCTAGATCGAGTGCCGGCACCCAAGGACCGGTCCAACTTGAGGGCTGTGCTCGGCTTCCTGAGCTACTATCGCCGGTTCGTGCCTAACTTCAGCAAGACGGCGTCGGTGTTGAACCGACTGCTGAGAGAGGAACAGGCGTGGCAGTGGGGGGAGGAAGAAAAGGGAGCGCTGGTTGCCTTGGTCAAGGCAGTCAAAACGGCCACCGTGCTATCGCTGCCAAGCAAAGCCGACCCGTTCGTGCTATACACTGACTGGAGTAGTGCAGGGATGCGGGCAATCTTGTGCCACGACCAAGATGGGGAGGAGAAGGTGGTCGCCTTCGCCAGCAGGAGGTGTAACCCGTCGGAAGCGAACTATAGTTCCTACGAGGGAGAAGGGTTAGCAGCAGTATGGGCCATCACACACTTCCGCGTGTATTTGCAAGGAAGACCATTCACGTTGGTTACGGATCACCAGCACTTGACGTAGCTCATGACGAACCAGGCCTTGACCGGGAGGAACACCAGGTGGGCCATGAGGCTGCAGGAGTATGATTTTGTCATCCGCCATAGGCCGGCAAAGAGCATGCAACATGTGGACGGACTTTCCTGTAACCCTGCCCCAGAGAGACCCTCGGCCTGCTTAGTGGCTCTGGCGCGAGGAATTGATGTGGAAGGAGCCAGGAAAGGGAAGGATAGGGGGCCGGAAGATGTATGGGAAGACGAGGAGGTGATGCGGTGGGTGCATGGTAAGACGAAGGAAGCGAAACACACCTCGGAGAGAGCTAGGGCGAGAGGAATACACTACCGCTGGTACCAGGAGCTGCAGGTGAACACCAGGGTTAGATGGGAAATGGTCCCTACGCTCGGAAAGAGAGAAAATATTATAAGAAAGGTGCACAGGCAGCTCGGGCATTACGGTGCTGTACGGACCATGCAACTGATAGAGACTACCTGGTGGTGGGCGAAAATGAGGAAGCAGGTGAAGCAGCAGGTAGAGGGATGCGAGCTGTGCGGGAGGAACTGAGCGGAGCTGGAAGAGGTAGGAAGGATCTGCAGTCGCTACCGCTCCGGGGATTGGGCTTTAGGTGGTCACTAGACCTAGCAGGAAAGATGCCATTGAGCCGCCGGGAAAAAAGATACATACTGATTATGATCGAGCATGGAAGCAAGTGGATGGAAGTGAGGGCCCTGCCTAGCAAAAACTCGGCTCGGATTGCATAATCCTTCGAACAACAGGTCCTGACTTGTTTCGGGGCGTATTGAGGAGTCTTAACCGTCCAAGGAACGGAGTTCTAGGGGCAGTTTACAATGTTGCTGCAGGAGACCGGAATAGTCCACCGGCGAACTTCAAGGTACCACCCGCAGAGTGACGGCCTGACAGAAAGGTTCGTGCAGACAGTAACGAGGGGCCTGGGAGCATATGGGGAGAAGTATAAGCGGGACTGGGATCTGAGGCTACCATGGGTAGCTGGGGGTTACCGCTTCAGCAAGCAGGCAGCGCTGAAGGACCTCTCTCAGTACTTCTTGCTCGTGGGAGCCAATCCTGCCAGTAGACGCGCCAAAGGTCCTCATGGACACAGTGACGGTCGGATCAGAAGAGAAATGGGTGGCTATAGCGGAAGCCAGGGCGAAGTACCTGAGGGAGTTGCTCCCCGCGTCCCTGGAGAACTTACACGAGGCTCAGTTAAGAGATGGGCAGAGGTATAAGAAGAGGGGAGAAAAGGTCGTGGGGGCAAGGGGGGACAAGGTGCTCCGGGGGGGAGAAGTGTATCTCAGGCAAGCCAAGAAGGACCTGCTGGATGTGGGGCTGACAACAGAGAGGTGGAGAGTGAAGGAAGTGAAGGACTCGGGGGTGGTGGTCCTTGAAAGTGAAAAGGGGGAAGAGAGGAGGGACCACCTCACTAATGTTGCGCGGGCAAGGTCCAGGAGGGGAGGAAGGGTGGGATGAGAGAGGCAGGAGCAGGACTTCCCGTTCACCAAATGAGATCCAGCAGCTGAAGCACAATGCTGCTTGCCGCGGAGGGGGCAAGTGGGTAATACCGGGAGTCCTGGAAGAACCTAAGAGGGAGAGGAGGAGTGCTAACCAATCTGGCAGGAGACAGAGGGAGAAGAGGAAAGCTTGGAAGAGAAAGAGCAGGAGGACTTGATTTCCGACAGCTGTAACGCAATTTATAAGAATAACAGATAATAAAATAGCCTAGCTGAATCATATATAATTGCTTAGACAAAGAGGTGGACCCAACTATTAATAGAATAGCTAACGGATGCAAACAATTAGAGTAGGGTAGCGGGAAAGCTGTGGAGCGAGTATTGCAGGCCTACCGTTGGCAACAACGGTAAGCAACACTGATTACTTAGGGCAAGCGGGCTAGAGTATTGTTTGTTTTCTCACGCTTTGACCAACTCCCAACCCAACTGTTGAGGTCACTAGCCATTGAGGAGCCATAGCAAGCAGACCCAGAGCCAGCCGAGCATCACAGAGACATCTGCTCTTGAGTATGAGTGGGTAGGGACTTTTCAAGTGGGTAACACCGGGAGTCCTGGAAGAACCTAAGAGGGAGAGGAGTGCTAACCAATCTGGCAGGAGTCAGAGGGGGAAGAGGAAAGCTTGGAAGAGCAAGAGCAGGAGGACTTGATTTCCGACATGGACGAGACGAGATACAGCTGGCATGGCAACTCTCGAGGCTCTTTTGTGAAAACTGGTTATAACCCCCCTGACAGAAAGAACACAAGGCCAAAGGCGGGACCTTTGGCCATTACCTCGTAAACATGGCTTGGTGGGAATTGTGAGAGGAGATTTGGTACATGTTGGGATACTGTAAGGACAATGTTTTCCCTTACCGGGTTGTACTGCATCGTGTACAACCCGAACTCCGGGAGTGTAGGCTCTGTCGACATTATCGACACCGAGGCCACCCTCCTCGTACGGCCTTCCACGCTTCCTTGGCGCAACCTGTACCCATCCTCATTTCCCTGAGGTTCCCGTGTAGCTTGGATTTCTTCTACTTTTGTCTCGTCAGTTTCTTTGTATTGTCAGTTCATGTGAAAACAACTTTGTTATGAATTTCGCTGAGTCTTGTTTGATATCTCATAAGATTCTTTAGATAGCTTAAAATAGAATGTCTTAACCATATAGCGGGTTCAGGGTCGAGGAAATAGGGCCGGCCGTGCATTATGTGCGCCGAGCCCTGCCGAATCTCGCCATCCACGAGCTGGCCTTCAACTTCCCAACGGTTGGCCCAAGCTCATAAGCCCTTAGTTGCACCAATCACGATGGCCGCCGACCATCCCAGCTTGACACCCCGACAGGCGGAACCCTGGCACACTGGCTAGCCACGCTTCCGCACTTCTCCGGGCCCGCGCGTGGCTGCAAGGGCAGAAAAGAGCTGCCGCAGTAGTTATCGAGAGAGTAGTCTGCGAGCAGACTGTCAGAATCCACTCCAGGGCTGTCAGGAACCCACGTGGGAGTCCCACACCCGAACCTTACTCTCACAGTGGGTCGCGCCCTCCCCCCATGGATGCATCGCTGGGCTGTCGCGTCCGTCCGCGCGCTGCGGTCGGCTGTGTGCCACAGGCCTCCCGTCGTCGTCCGTCGGCCCGGTCTGCTCGCGTCGCATTGCATCCGCTGCAGCCGCGTCGCCACCTGCTCGCCGCCAACAGCTTGCGCCTGCCGCAGATCGGCGCGCGCCCGCACGAGGCCGCCGACCGGCGCCTGCCCCACTCCCCGCCGTCCCGCGTCCCCAGAGCGGCGCTCGTCGCGGAGTCGGCTTCCAGCGAGGAAAGCAAAGCCGATGTGACTGTAACGGGCGATGCAGAGGAGCAGCTGAGAGCGTCAGCGGCGGCGGAGGGGAGGGCGGAGGAGGGCGGGGCGTTCGAGTGGAGCCGCGCGTGGTACGCCGTGGGCGTGGCGGCCTCGCCCGCACGCCGTCACCGTCGTGGGCCGCCCGCTCGTGCTCTGGCGCGACGCCAAGGGGTCGTGGCGCTGCTTCCTCGACCAGTGCCCCCACCGCCTCGTGCCGCTCTCCGAGGTAAGCCCCGCCCGCCCCGCCACCCCGCCTCCCATCTCACCTTTCTCCCATCGCACCTATTCCCATGGGACCCTTTCGCATCGCACAAGTCGTGTTGTTATAGTCGGCGCAGCGGATGCCCTCACACCGCGTAAGCCAGCACGCATACAATTCCCATTACCTGTTGCCAGCTCACCCACCTCCTCTCACTGCGCCTCCGCCCGGCCACAGGGGCGCATAGACGCGGAGGGGCGGCTGGCGTGTTCGTACCACGGGTGGGCGTTTGCAGGCAGCGGCGCGTGCGAGCTCATCCCCCAGGCTGCGCCGGAGCACCCGGGCCAGGCACCCCGTGCCGTGTGCTCCCCGCGCGCCTGCGCCACTGCCTTCCCCGTGAGGGAGATCCACGTGAGTGCCACGTGGCGAGGCCCGAGGTGCTTTGCACGTGGGAGGCTCGTCTGACGACGAGACGCATGCACGGCAGGTGGCCTTGGTGGACGTTGAGTGGACTGAAGCTGACGGGCGCACTGTGCATCACTGACAGGTGCACATGGAGACGGGCTAGAGGCATGGCAAGGAGAACGGTAGGTAGCGAGGAGAAGGGCAGGCAGCGGCTAGGATTAATGGTTAATGTTTCCGGGTGGGATCACCCAAGAAGGTGAGCCAAAAGAATCAGAGCGGGAATGGAACGACCCTTGAGGGGATACTGTGCCACAGCAGTCCATCCAACGTGCTGTTGCATGCAGGCCACTCGCCCTTCATTCACCCCATTCTCCGCCACGCTCGCCCGCCCTTCCCCCCCTTCCCCTCCCTCCGCCCCACCCCCCAGGGAGTGCTGTTTGTGTGGCCCGACGAGCACTCAGCACAGCAGGCGGACGCGACGCCGCTGCCGCTGCCGCACGGGGTGGAGTGGGAGGAGTACGACGCGCTGCCGCACTACACGCGGCGCCTGGCGTACGGCTATGAGGTGCTGGCGGAGAACGTGGTGGACCTCTCCCACTTCCCCTTCGCCCACCACGGCGTCGGCATGACCACCCGCGACCAGGGTGGCCCCGTCAGCGACCTTGGCGTCCAGCAGCTCGTGCGTGGGGGGGTGGCGGGCAGGCACCGGGATGTGTGGCACGGGGATGTGTGGCACGGGGATGCGGTTTGCTCATGCAGACACCCAGAGAGCCGCACACATCATGCAGCCACGCACACACTCATACTCACATGCGGCCAGCCATCACCACTTATGCTCATGCTCGCCCTGCCTGCACTGCTCCCACCCTGCCTGCCTGCTTTGAGCAGGGCGTGAGGGGCTTTGAGGGGCCCATCCACGTGTTTGGCTTCCCCACGTACCTCCGCTTCCAGGCGCCCCAACTCGTCTTCTACCACAACACCATGAGGTACAAAAGACAAGAGCATGAGGTACAAAAGACAACACCATGAGGTACAAAAGACAAGAGCATGAGGTACAAAAGACAACACCATGAGGTACAACACCATGAGGTACAACACCATGAGGTACAACACCATGAGGTACAACACCATGAGGTACAACACCATGAGGTACCGCCCCTACCTTTTCAAACAATCGCGATTCCAATCCGAGTCGATTTAACCACTATCGAATTGGAACCTGCTTCTCCCCCCTCCCTGCTTTTATCCCTTCCTTATTTTCCCTGATCCCGTCGTTTTTCCTCCCTTTCCCCCTTTCCCCATCCTCCCCTTCCCCTTCTCTCTCCCTCGCCCTCGCAGGCCACGCCCCCCCAAGTTCGCCTTGCTGCCTAGGAAGCCGGAGGACACATACGCGCCCAACACGTACCTGCTGCTGCTCTACATCACGCCCTGTGCGCCGGGCAGCAGCCTGGCCGTGCAGGTGCAGCTGGTGAGGCGCGGCGACGGCAAGAAGCTGCCCTCCGTGCCGCGCTGGATGCTGCACCTCCGCCAGCACCAGGTGTTTGATGGTGAGTGCTGCACCTCCGCCAGCACCAGGTGTTTGATGGTGAGTGCTGCACCTCCGCCAGCACCAGGTGTTTGATGGTGAGTGCTGCACCTCCGCCAGCACCAGCTGTTTGATGGTGAGTGCTGCACCTCCGCCAGCACCAGGTGTTTGATGGTGAGTGCTGCACCTCCGCCAGCACCAGGTGTTTGATGGTGAGTGGAAGAGGGAGAGGAAGAGGGATGAGAGGAGTATTTTACGCTGTTCAGCCACTTGCGCCCTTTTTCTGTCAAGAGAGTAGCAGTTATCAGCTGTAAAGCCTCAAACTCTGCCGTTGTTTGTCACAGCCCCATCTGCCCCCCTTCCTGACTTTGCCTTGGTTTCCCATCCTTCTTGCTCATCCCCTCTTGTCCCTCTGCCCCTTGTCACATCACTGCCATGCCATGTGCATCTGTCCCTGTGCCCACCAGGCGATTCCTACTTCCTGCACTGCCAGGAGCGAGTGCTGCAGGCGAGGGAGCAGCAGATGGAGGAGGCGCGGGCGAGCAAGGGCGAGGCACAGCAGGGGGGAGGTGCGGCGGAGGGTGGGCGAGGTGAAGTGGAGGGGGGAGGGGGGGCGAGGGGGGCGGCGTGGAGGGCGTTCTACATGCCCACCAACACCGACCTCCCCGTCGTTGCCTTCCACCAATGGCTCTCCAAATATGCAGGTGTGTGCCTTGTCTGAGTGACTACTTCATTGGAAGCACAAAGTGGTTGCAACGCTCAGTACGTTCCTCTTTTTATTCACACAAGGTATATATTTCGAGCCATTCTTGCTTGGAACAGTGTAGTCTCGGATGTACATTGGGAGAAACGTATGGCAGCTGGTGGGGTTCATGAGCGAGTGTGAGCAAACTATTTTCACCTGCCAAGCTTTGCAATTGTAAGTTTCATTATCGTATCTTCCCTGACATGTAATACAGCATCCGTCGTTTTTCGAGCCTTTTTTTTCGGTTCGTCTGGCTCGACTTACCCCTTTCTGTCGAGTATGTGAGGCTGATGAGTGTGTGCAACGCCTCTGCCAGCCATGTTGCATATCCCCTCAGTTGTGGACATCTGGGGTGCCGAGTGCATGTGAACCTGTGCAAGGCTGGATGCTATCCTAGGTCTCATGTCGACCAGATATACGGAATGGAAATGTTTAATCTGAGCTCCCAACGCCCTTGCTGTGTGCCATCCCTCCTTGCCTCGCATGTTGATGCTTCGTCCACCATCAACCTGACCCGTGCATGTCGTGCATGTGACCACCACACCACCTCTGTCCCCCGTGCACCAGGTGGAGCGGTCGCATACCCGCCGCCCTTCACAGGCGTGTCGCTGCCCCCCCAGCCGGCCCCCAAGGAGGTGGTGTTGGAGCGCATGGCGTCCCACACAGCGCACTGCACCGCCTGCTCCGGCGCCCTCACCAACGTGCAGCGCCTCCAGCTGCTGCTTCCAGCCGCCTCGCTGCTCTCCGCTGCTGCTGCTGTCGCCTCCAGCTCCCTGCGTGCTCGCCTGCCGCTTGCTGTGCTGGCCCTGGCGGCTGCAGCGGCAGCGTGGAAGGTGCGGGAGGTGGCCAAGGAGTTTGTGTACACGGGGTGGGACCATGCCACGCGGGATTGAAGTCAGGATAACAGGTTGTGCAGCCACGCGGGCCTTGCTTGCACTCTTAAATCAACGTTTCAAGTATTTGGCTTGCTGGTACTTGGTGGGGGTGGAAGCGAGGGAGGTAACGCGAAGTGAAAGAATCACTAGAACAGGACATACAAGGCGGGTTTATGTAATGTCCGAGCCCTCTATAGTATAGTCTGGTTTGTTGGCGCATCATTGGATGGTGGCATGTTGACCAGTTCGTCAGGCAAGTCAAAGGGGACAATCCGCAAGGAATTTCTCCTGCTGCTTGCGACACATGGTGAACTCGCTGCTGTAGTAGTCCATGCACTTGACGTACGCCTCCATGCTCGCTGGACACTGCCCTTGCAATGACTTCAGCCTGCACACAGCATGGGAGAAAACAAAAGGGGAAAAAGGGGGGTGGGTTGGGAAGAGGAAAGCCGCAGGGTGGAAGAAGTGGGGTATGAGATTGTCAAGTTGCTACTGGGGTCAAAATGGTACATGTACGTTCATGGGCAGAGGGAGCACAGCACATGGGCATGGAGTGTGGATGGCATTTCAGTGCAAGGACAGTGAATTAGTGATGCGCCACCGCGCGAGTACAGCATGAGGCAGCACAGGCAGAGATGGAAGCAGTTTGACTGACAGCAGGTGGCAGGTGGCAAGAGGGCAAGCGGGCAAGGGGGCAAGTGGGCAAGAGGGCAAAAGGGCGAGGGCAAGAGGGCAAAAGGGCAAGAGGGCAAAAGGGCAAGAGGGCAAGAGGGCAAAAGGGCAAAAGGGCAAAAGGGCAAGAGGGCAAGAGGGCAAGGAGAGGGCAAGAGGGCAAGGAGAGGGCAAGAGGGCGAGAGGGAAAGAGGGAGGAAGACACAGGAAACCGATGGAAGAGGAGGAGCAGCATGAGACACATGGTGTGAGGGGGGCAAGCTGAAGCGGACCACACGATAGCATGGTCGCTGGAAGAGCACAAGCACGAGCCACGGGCGGCTCATTCAGCCACACATCGCAATTCCTGAACCCACTGCTCCGCACTTAGACCGGCTCAGCAAACCGTAGTCGACATCCGGCAAACCCTAGCCCAAGAAGATAGCACTAAGTCGAGATGAAAGATTCGTCAAAGCAAGGAGTGGCAGCAGCAAGCGAAGGCGTACAGTGCATGGCGGATGCCTCACGCTGACTGATAGACCTAACGAGAGGCAGCGGAGTTGATCGGCGGGCACAGCGGATCGATCAGAGAGGCGGAGGCGGCGCGCGGTGCACTCACAGGTTGAGCACGCATCCCGTGACCTGCGCGCCCTGCTGCAAACACTTCTCGGGATTCTCGTCCGCGCGTTTGCACTCCAGGAACGCGCGATTCTCAGCGGCGCAGCTCTTGGCAATGTGTCTCGATGCTGACATCAGCACGGCTGACGTGGCAACCGGAGTATCGTCCGACATGATAAGAGTTGCAGCAGCCTGTTTTCAATCCGATCTGGATACGCGACGAAGAAAGATGGCGATGCACAGAAAGGAGCGAGCGGCTGCAGCGGTCGGTGACCGTGCGCGGACGATGGAAGGCGAGAGAAGCACAAACAGGACGTGATAATAGGCTCCTTCTAGAACACTATGCCTACAAAACACGACCGTTCTTGCCCGTTACAACCTAATGGTGTTCCACACTTCGCGTGTCACCTTTACCAAACCATGCACTGGCCTACGCTTATGGACTTATTTTCTTGCATAATTCTCACTTCATTCTTTCTTAACAGTAGGATAATTAACAAGCTGAAGCACTACTGGATTTTTTGGGTTGCGTAGCAACCCTCTATATTTGGTTTCACATTTTGGGGATATCATTTCAAGAGTGATTTTTAAACACAATTTGGTGTTAGAATTACTAGCTAGGTGAGGATGTCGATTAGGTAAGGGAGGGGGGTACAAGACTATCGAGAGTGAAATGTTGTACCCTCTAAGAAAAGAACCCTACACAACCTAGAGTGAAATGAACAGAACAATATATGTTTTGACACACCCCCATAGGTGAAGGAGGGGATAGCCAAACCTAACAGTGGTCACAAGACCAAACAAGCAAGAGAACAAGCAAGGCAAAGCTCAGGGTGGATCTCAAGGACACCACACAATCTGAGCACAAGCAGGCGGCCACAAGGCCAGTTCACATGCAGAGTTATAATAGCAAGGCAGTACACTGATCACAACCTAGCAAGAGTAAACATGCAGGTATAAAGATATATAGCAGTGTACAACAAGAGCAAGTCAAGCAACCAGCAGGTGAGGCAGAGTGGGCACAAGCCCAAAAGAAGTGCTGAAACGCTGGTGATCACCAGACCCAAGGGCCTTGGTGAAGACATCAGCAGTGTTGGCCCGAGAGGCCACGTAAGCAAGGCGCAGCTGACCACGCTGCTGCAGCTCACGCGCAAGGAAGTAGCGAAGAGCAATGTGCTTCGTTCTGTGCTCCAGTCTCTGCTCGCGACACAAGGCAAGCATTGCCTTGTTGTCGACGTACAGAACTGGAGGAGAACGAGGCCGCTCCCCCAAGTCGGTCAGCAGGTAGGTCAGCCAGCGTAGCTCCTGTGCAGCCATGGCCCCAGCGTAGATCTCGGCCTCACAGCTGGAGCCAAGCACAGAAGAAGAACGAGTGGACCTCCACGAGACAGAACCAGAGCCAAGACTGAAGGTGTAACCCTGTGACGAACGCTGAGTCGCCTGGTCGTCGGCCCAAGAAGCGTCAGAGTGTCCTGTGAGTACCACTGAACCCTGTCCTCCAAGCACGAGCCCCATGCCCGATGTACTGCACAAGTAACGCAGTACCCTCTTCGCAGCATCCCACTGCACCTTTCGGTGTCTACCGGGTGCCACGTAGCGAGCCAGAAGGCTGAGAGGGTACGCGAGGTCAGGGCGAGTGCACGTCATCAGGTACATGAGGCAACCCACAAGCTCTGGGTACGGACCACTCGGCTCTACGGACTCGTCCGAAGGTGGAGCTGAGAGCGAGTGGCTGGTAGACAGAGGAGTGGGCTGTGGCGAGGAGAACTGGAAGCCGATGCGCTGAAGGACCTGGTGCACCATGTGTGACTGAGTCAGGGTGATGGTGCGCCGTGCTCTGTCCCTGGTGATCTGCAAGCCAAGATAGCTCCGCAGCTCACCCAGGTCAGTGCAGGTGTTGTTACGTTATGAATGAATTGATAGAAAATGTGAAGTACAACCCTAGATATAGCAAACCCTAATCCTGCAAGTAAGTAGAAATGTAACACCTAGACTAACCTAAACAACACATATAAAATATATGTTGACACACCCCCATAGTCTAGGTGACGGAAGTCCTGTAGAAACAACAAGAGCAAGCAACGGTCACAAGACCAGTCCACAAGAACAAGACAAATCTCAGGGTGGAGCTCAAAGTCACCACACACTCCGAGAGCAAGCAAGGGGCCACAAGGCCAGTCCACATGCAGGTATATAGCAAATATAAAGAGATGCAAGAGTACAAGACATGCAGGACAAGGCATCTCTAAGCAAGCAAGTGAGGACGGGCAGGCACAGGGCCAAGCTGGGTGCAGAAACGCTGGTGGTCACAAGGCGGCAACGCCTTGGTGAAGATATCTGCCGTGTTGGCCGCAGAGACCACACGTCGAACGAGTGCCTGTCCACGTTGCTGCAACTCACGCAGAAGGAAGTAACGAAGCTGGATGTGCTTCGCCTTCCCAACCAGTCGGGGCTCCTCACACAACAGGACAGCAGACCTGTTGTCGGTGAACAAGACTGGGGGAGAGCGAGGCCGCTCACCAAGGTCGGTGAGAAGGAAAGACAGCCAGCGAAGCTCCTGAGCGGCCATGGCCGCAGCGTACACCTCTGCCTCACAGCTGGAACCGGCGACGGACGACGCCCGAGTCGATCGCCACGAAACAGCACCTGCCCCGAGGCTAAAGGAGTACCCCTGTGTAGACCGACGCGTCTCCGCGTCGTCGGCCCACGACGAGTCCGAGTAACCTGTGAGTGTAACTGGCTGTTTCCCTCCAAGGACAAGTCCCATGCCTGATGTACTCGCCACATACTTCGCCACCCTCTTAGCAGCGTACCAGTGGGAAGGTCGGTGTCTCCCAGGCGCAACAAAGCGCGCAAGGACGCTAAGAGGGTAAGCTAGGTCTGGGCGAGTACAGGTCATCAGGTACATGAGACAACCCACCAGCTCAGGACATGGACCACTGGACTCAAATGACTCGTCCGAAGGTGGAGCCGGGAGCCCATGATCCACACCAAGAGGGGTGAGCTGTACCTTGGAGAACGGGAAGCGAAACCGCGTGAGGATCTGCTCGACCATATGCGACTGAGTCAGCGTAATGGTGCGAGCTGCCCTGTCCCTGGTGATCTGCAGGCCAAGGTAGTGCTGCAGGTCACCAAGGTCAGTGCAAGTGTGTCTCCTCTGCAGTTCCTCCTTCACGGAGGCCAGCGCGCGTCGGTCGGGAGTGGCGAACACCAGGTCGTCGACGTAGACCAGGACAAAGAACGGGGTCGAGCCACGGCGAACAAACAGTGACGGGTCAGCAGGCGACGGAAAGAAGTCAAGAGCTGCAAGGGTCGAGCGAAGTGTGTCGTGCCACTCACGTGGGGCCTGACGCAGGCCGTAGACTGGTCGACGTAGCTGCCACTGGGTCCCAGGTGGGAAAGAGCCAGTGAAGCCAGGCGGGCGACGCAGCCAGATCTGCTCGTGCAAGCTCCCCTGAAGGAACGCGGTGGAAAAGTCCAAGGAGTGCAACTCGTAGTCGCGCTGGGCTGCAATATGCAGCAACACCCGAAGAGTACTCATCTTTGGGGTGGGAGCGAAGGTCTGGAAGAAGTCCACCCCCTCTCGCTGACTGAAGCCTCTCGCAACATAGCGTGCCTTGAACACATGTGGTGATCCAGGCGGCCGCTTCACCTTGTAGAGCCATCGGCCACTGACGACGTTCGTCTCAGGAGGTGGGACTGCGTCAACGTAAGTGCCTGTGGACCTGTAAGATGCCATCTCTGCCTCC